AATCCCAACTCGTAACACTTAGTATATTAAACCGGAAATATTCCAATCATAGTGATTCATTAAATACAAACATTTATTCATCTTATTGGAATGGAATGATGAAATAACAATTAATTTAACTCATATATCATCACATGGCGGGTAACGTTCTCTCTTACTAAACAGTGTTATTTGTCTCGGCCTTACTGCCTCCTTGTTTATCAGAAGCTTAGTATTCTATGAGCTGCTTCCCCTGTCTGTCTGGCATGTGGCAACAATATGGTTATCATATTAGAGTGTTCATAGTAGCACATTAGGTATCTCATCCTCAGACTTTCAGGCGAAGGGCATTAGCAAAATGATTTGACAATTGAATATTTATTCTCCTTTTATATTGCAATAAAATCGATATATATATATATATATATATATATATATATATATATATATATATATGTAACATATTATCAGTTATGAACTGACCATAAATTTATTTGTCAGTGGCCCAAGGTTAAAAATGCTTTGAAAACCTTTGCTCTAGATGTATGATAGTTATTTTGTGGGTCCCTTTTTTCTGACCTGACCTGGCTAGTCACGTCACCACCCTTCTCTTAAGCTCCTCTACGTGTGTGTTGGTGTGGGGATTAGTGGATTTCATCATTATAACCTGACCTCATGTTTTTAAGGTCACCCTGTATATTTAAGCCTCTCTCTGCCCATGTAATCCAGTTGCCTCTGAAGATGTCTTGAATAAAGACGAAAGCTAAGGTACTCCGTTGTTTCCATTTTCCCGTGTGATTTTATCAAGATATATATATATATAATCAACACCTCAACCAGTATCCTGGTGGTCCAGCGGTTAGCGTTCCACAGTCATAGGCTTGTGGGCCGTGGGTTCGAATCCTGGCGGGTTGAGGTGTTAATTGTATGTAGAAGTCCGCGTGCTTTATTGGGCTAATGAAATATATATGGATCCTCGTGTTTCGAAGCCGGATTTGGTAAAACGTTACTCTGACCACCTACGTGAGACGGGTGGTCCCCATTAGAGGTTCACGGCGCCATAAGCTAGTTGAACAGGCTTTGTGTGAAATATAACAAAGTCTAGGACTGCTCTTAGAATCCTGGTGGTCCAGCGGTTAGCGTTCCCCGGTCACAGTCATAGGCTTGTGGGTTCGTATCCTGGCGGGTTGAGGTGTTGATTGTATGTAGAAGTCCGCGTGCTTTATTGGGCTAATGAAATATATATATATATATATATATATATATATATATATCTTGATAAAATCACACGGGAAAATGGAAACAACGGAGTACCTTAGCTTTCGTCTTTATTCAAGACATCTTCATTTTTAGTCCATATAACACGCGGACTTTGAACATATAATCAACGACCTCACCAGCAAGGAATCGAACCCTCGACCTACTGGGTGTGACTAGGGAACGCTTACCGGCTAGGCCACAAGGACACTAAAAGCAGTCCTTGCTGGTGAGGTCGTTGATTATATGTTCAAAGTCCGCGTGTTATATGGACTAAAAATGAAGTATATATATGTACCTCGCGTTTCATACCAGCTGGATTCGGTAAAATGCTACTGACACCACATAAGAGGCACGGGCAGTTTCCCAATGAGGTTCACGGCGCCATCAGCTCGATGAACAGGCTTTGTGTGAAATATAACAGAGTCTAGAACTGCTTTTAGTGTCCTTGTGGCCTAGCCGGTAAGCGTTCCCTAGTCACACCCAGTAGGTCGAGGGTTCGATTCCTTGCTGGTGAGGTCGTTGATTATATGTTCAAAGTCCGCGTGTTATATGGACTAAAAATGAAGTATACATATATATATATATATATATTATATATATATATATATATATATATCCCTCAATCCAATGCTCTGTTTGTTCATTTGAGGGATAACAAGCATTGCATTAACTGGGATAATGCCTCCTCAATATAACCTTGTAATTCAATTGATAGTAGGAACATCATAGAATCTAGTCTTATTAAACATACCGAAGCATTCAACATGAATTTGAGTAATGGCCTGTACAAACTGGACAATTTTGTAATTAAGAAGATTTGTAACCAGGTGAGAAAGTTGGGTCACCTTACCCTCTGACCTGGCCACCAACCGTTGTGTGCTATTTAAAGATTAGTAGGGTGATTACCTAATACCTGACCATTGTGGACCTGGTCTCACCCTCCTCTGTATATATACACCTTGGTTTGTGTTTCTCATTAGTCTGTACTCACCCCTGATGATGTGAATTACACGAAAGCGCTTGGGAACTTCGTGTTTTCTTCTTTCCTTGTGGTTATCAGCATATACCTAGATCACGCGTACCTACAGTGATTTACTGTAGTACACTAATATAATATGTTCTTGTTTGTTAAATACGTGTAGTGGAAAAGACATTATATCCATTATTTGAATTAATTTCTAATAGAAAACAAATATCTTTTAATTGTGGGTCAAGTGTTCACAATTACACTAGTTTTACACCTTTCACTCTCTCTCTCTACTAGCTCACACACACACAAGAGAGAAATAAACAGAGTGAAAGAGAGAGAGTGAGAGGTGCAAAACTATTTGGAGAATAAAGGTCATTCAATGAGATGTGTCATATAATTTTTCAGATATGCAGGAAAAATCGGAGCAAATTATGGTAGAGAAAACATAAATAGAACAGATTTAATTGAAGATAATATACAAATCATCACCCAAATTATTAAAGTGACCCATAGTGTAAAGACAAGCTCATAACTTTTTGCTTCAGTAAGATGTAGTAATGGTGGCAAACTAATCCGCTGAAAATCCATTAGAAATGTTTCCTCCCACGCACAAGAAAGTATCAACATAATGTCATTTATTTAGGATTATGCTAGGAGCGAAACATACAGGGTGTCCATAAATGATTACCCTAAAAACAGTAAGCTCTCATGTTTTAATCAGGGTAATCATTTATGAACACCCTGTATTAAGAACTTGAATTCAAAATGCTCATAGTTCTCTAACTTAAACCTATTTTCTTAAATTGTAAAATATATTTAATTACTCTAAGAAAATCACATTCTAAAATATTAATAGTAATTAAATTTCCCTCAAGATTGTCATAAAGAAACATTAGTTGTAATATCTTAATGTGATGCGGACAAACATTCACCATCATGAAACTCAATGTGGAAAATATTTCAAATAAACTATATCTATATATCTTGAATAAAGCTCTTTTAATACTTAATTCTTAATATTATAGACTGTTTATACCAATCTAATATACAATGAGACTGTACGTACAATATATAATGTACGATATCTTTCCTGAATTATCCAACTGTTTATATTAATTTCTACTGCGCAACACTGAATAGAAAATAGGAACCAATCAGAACTCCTTATGGGTCATTTATAATGACCCACATCAAGGCTTAGGGGGCGAAAAATATAATAAATTAATAAAAATAATAATGATAATAATAAAATTAATAATAATTAATAAAATAAATTACAATTATAAGAAAGAAAATATTAGTAATACTAATAAAAAATAAGAAAAAATATTACAAAATAATAATAATAATGATAAAGAGCCTTAAATAAATAAAAAAAATTAAAACAATCATGAGTGAGAAATGATATATGTATGTTGTGTCGTCAATAGTAAGAGAAACAATTGAAACCCTGCAATTGTGTGTAAATGAGACAAAGACAGATCAACAACCTGGGACTTGGTCACAATTTTTGTGGTGCCATATGGCAGCAGGGTCTACCATAGACAATACATTGACCCCGCCTCCCTTGCCTGCTCTTTAATGGAGGACTGGGCACGAGCTTCCTCCCTGAGGCACTTCCAGATCCAATGCAGGAGGCAGTGCAGGCCCGCATCGATGCGTCTGAGCCTGTTGTTCGTGCTGCTCTTACCTCCCCTGACCCCACTGATCATCCCATCACACAGTTCGAGGTTGACAGTGCTCGTCGCTCTAGAAAAGACACCTCTCCTGGGGATGATCAGATAACCTACTCCGTCCTCAACGCCTGTACTAATATTCCTAACGGCCCCTTGCTTGCTCTCTACAATATGTCTTATGAACATGGGGTTCTCCCGTCCAACTGGAAAAATGCCACTATTATCCCCATCCCTAAGCCGGGAGATCCTGGGAAATATCGACCCATTAGCCTTACCTCCTGTGTTTGTAAGATGATGGAGAGGATACTCCATCGTCGCCTTCTTCACACCAAAGGCGGCTTCCACAACTCCCTCAATGGTTTCATTCAACATCGCAGCACAGCACACTCCATTGCTTCCTTTTATTGCAATCAGACTGCCCGCATCTCCGTCTTCCTTGATATCAAGGGAGCCTTTGATACGGCTCAGCCTGCCCTCATTTTACGTGAACTTGCGCGGTTAGGGGTTAAAGGGAGACTTCTCCAATGGATCGCCTCTTACCTCACTGGACGTCAGGCCCGGGGTCGCGTTGAAGGCTCTATGTCTCCTGTTCAAGAAATGAACCTCCGCACCCCTCAAGGTGGAGTCCTGAGTCCCACCTTGTTTAACACTCTCATGCACTCCATTGCATCTCTCCCGTGGCCGACAAAAGTTGTCCACTCAGGATATGCCGAAGATGTCCTCCTCCAAGCCCCTGACTACCTCAGCATGCAGGAAGCCCTTAATCTGGTCTCCAGAGAGTGTGATTCACTTGGTTTCCTTCTTTCAACTGCGAAAACAAAAGCCATGTGACACGGTCGTGTTGTACCTCCACCCCTTCTCTTATCAGGAACGCCCTTGGACTGGGTTAAAGAGACAAAATACCTGGGTGTGTATGTAACTCGCACACTTTGTCAGATCCCTGAAGTCCGCTATCTTCGAGACATATGCTTTCGGCGTCTCGCTCTCCTCTCTACCATGTGCAGGGGTTCCCTTGGTGCCACCATCCCTGTACTTCTCACCATGTACAAGTCCTTTGTCCGTTCCTGTGTCGACTACGCCGCCCCTACCCTCGTCAACATTAGTCGGACTGCTGTCAACCGTCTCGAAGTTATCCAGAGGAAAGCTGCTCGTATCATCCTTGGGGCTCCTCAGTGGACACGCTCTACTTCTCTATATACCGAACTTGGTCTTTCCCCCTTACAGGATCGTGTCCAGGAGTTTTACCTAAAAACTGCCGTTTCCATTCTACTGGATCCTCGGGGCAACTATGTCCAAACCAACTTGACTCCTGCTGTCCGAGACCGACCTCCATCTAGAAGACAGTGGCGAGGGTCATTCATCCGAGCCCTTCAGGAACACGACCTCCTGCCTGATATTGTTGTCACCCCTGCTGTTGGTTCGTCTCCTTCTCCCTGGCTGGATTTTCAACCTGAAGTGATTGCCCTCGGTGGACCGCTCCCGAAATCCCAGGTGAACCTTGTTATTCTCTGCAAATACCACCTCTCCAGAATCGCCCACTGGTCCCCAGGTAGGGTCGTCCTCTACACTGATGGTTCTGTTGACCCCGCTACAGGTAGGGCCGGGGCTGGTGTCTACATCTCCCGTCCTGATGCCCCTGAGCCTATCAAACTGTCTCTCAGAGTTTCTGACGGGGCATCCTCCACTCAGGCTGAACTAATAGCCCTCCTTGCTGCCCTTCTCGCTGAGGAAGAAGCAGATGGCTTCTGCCCCCTGCTTGTCTGCTGCGATTCCAGGTCTGCTCTCGACGGGATCGCATTTGGATCAGGGAAAAATAAGGACCTCATCCTCCGAATACGAGGGTTAACATCCACACTTCAGGATGCAGGCCGTCCTGTGACATTCCTATGGATACCCAGTCATGTCGGTATCTTGGGGAATGAGGCAGCAGATGGCCTTGCCAAGACTGGCTGCAACAAGGCCACACCTGACTACGTTGTTCCTCGAACACGTTTACAGCTCAGGACTCAGATTCGCCGCAAACAGAGAGAAGCTCGGGAAGCAGCCATCCCCCTGGACTCCCCGCCCACCTGGTACGATGTCCTCCGTAAACTTCCTGACCTCTCGTACGTCTATGGGAAAGGGTCTCGGAAAGGGGACGTGATTGCTGCCCGTATCATCATTGGGTATGACTTTGCTTGGGAGATTGGTATTCCCGCATCCTCTGAGCAACGCTCTTGTGCATTATGCAGAAGACCTGACAGCAGCACTCTTATCCACTACCTCCTAAGATGTCCCCACACACAACGCTTCCGTGACGCCTGCTGGACCACCACTCCACGACCCCCTGACGGAGACACGATGATCCTTCCCATACTGGCCAGATATTTTGTAAAAAACATTGATTATGTGTTAAAGGAATATCCTTCCTTCCTTAGGCTTTAGTAAGCCCCTTTATAATATTTATGCTGTATATACTTGTCACACTTGCCAGATGCTTCTGGTGTCATTGTACAGGGGTACCTAGTGACAGCACTAGGATCCCGCTTCCTCTATCAAGAAATAAACAATTGAAATTGAAAAAATTGAAATTGACAATACATTATGCTTCCAATATCCTCCCAGGTGGTAGTACCTCCCTGTTTGGCAGTTGCCTACTACCTCGCAAACAGAGATCATATAATACAATTCCACCAACACGGTCTGCTCTAAAGGAACATGTAAAGTGTGCAGCCTATCAAGGTGGAATGATTTGGGGTCAGGCAACAGTAGCCCAACCAGACATTCCAAGTCCTGCTAACTGGGGCTGGTAAAAGAAAGGAGATATGTGGCAAATACACTGGACTGAACTTCCACCAATAGCAGCAAGCTGCCAAGAACTCACCAAGTGTTCTTGCAAGAAAGACTGTGGACATCGATGTAAATGTATCCGCTCTGGTCTCACTTGTACAGCTCTGTGTAGCTGCACAAGCCAGCAGCTGTATATAGGAAAGAATTCCTATAACAATATCTCCCAAAGGTATGAGCAACATATAAACATGATTTTCACTCATTGTTTAACTAAGAATAGCTTCATTTATTTTTATGAAAAGAAGTAAATGTATGTGCAAAACAATTACTTTAAGCATAAGAGACATATCTGAGGGTTCCAGAACAATCATAATCTGTTCCAGCATGCTTTAAAACATAGGAATAGAGACCTTATGTGCACAGATTGCCCAGTAATAAGTCATTATACGTAAATAATATTTTTGGTGAGGTAAATTTGGCGGCACAACTCTTACCATGACAAAATTTTTAAAAAATTTTGTCAAAACTGTTTCAGTGCAAGTTTGGCAATCATTTATGTAACCGTTTCATTGTCATCTGTGGGCACTTCGTATCTTTGACTTTCTGTAGTTATAAAAAAAATCAACTAGTATTTACTAGAAAAGTTACAGCACTGGACATTCAGATTTCCACATTTAGTTTCATGGTGAGTTAATGTCAACAGTGCCAACACCATGCATCTTCAACTGTGACACGCGGTCATCCGGGAGGGACCCTAACATTTCCGTAAAAATTCCACCGGACTAGCACTTTATAAAACTCCTTCCTACACAATAATTTTACTGTCGTATAACCTTAATCAGATTTTATCATCCTGCTTCAGATATCTTCAGTGTTTGGCAGGCCGACGCTCACATGAATAAATTTGACATGACTTGTTTATTTTATTTTTTTGGTGCTAAAAAATTATATATGGAAGTTAATAAATAGCATTGCTCAATTAATGATACGTGTCCTTGTGCTTCATTATACTTCAAATTTTCAGGGAATGTTTGTGGTCCTGGCTGGCTGCAACGGCCTCAGTGTACTGGTGATGTGGAGATTCTCTGCTCTCGTATTCGATAGACGTGAACCATCACCGCCTGTGACCCCCGACACCCTAATCACACCTTGCTGAATTGTCGTTATTTACATTTCAAACAACACTTTTCTTCATCAGAAATCTGTAAATATCTTAGAACGTTAACAAGTAACAGTCAGTCACAATTCAACAAGCCGCCCATTTATTTTTAATTTATGCAATGTCATACGAAACGTCAGTTAGGGAAATTTATCATCTTTAACGTTTTTTTATATATTATTGCTTTGGCCATTTTCTTCATCCAAGATACCGAGGAGCTTGATTATATACCGGTACACAAAAGATCACAGAGGACACGTGACTAAATGTATACATACTACGTGCTATGCTATGGATACGCACACACTACAGGCAGTGGCCGGTCATTAGCACTAAATTAGTGAATATAAGCATGTTATCTGTATTTTGAGTATGTAGCATAACTATTAGCCTATCAATATTTAAATATATTTGCAAGGACTACAAATAAGTCTTAATTATATGAAATCAAACACTAACCTAAATATTTATTGCTCATTCAAGTTATCATTATGTTATTCGATAAAGAAAAACTACCTATATATGGTATATACACAAATATTATTTCTATAGTCATACTGCAAAAGCCAACGAATCATTGAGCTTTATTTCTATGACGTCAGGTAGCCGGGCTCGTCAATAAGACTTGTAAAGTCGGTGATGCTGACTCATTCTTCTCAAGTTCCTCGCGCTGTGAACACCTCTCTTCCACGTCTACACTACACCACCAACTTGATTGGTGAGTTTTTCTTAACCAAAAAGCTTATGTTTATCCTTGTTTACTGTTTCCTCGATTGTTTTATCGAGAGGAATCTTCCCAAATTGATTTGGTTGCATTGCGTAGTTCAGTGAAAATGAAGAGTTGCCCAAATATTTTATTTAACACTTCTATAATCTGCTGAAATATACAAGAATTCAGTCTTCGGGTCAGATCTGACCCACCATTAATAATATTAATGGCCCGAACAGACTGCTTGTTATAGTACTTTTTCATTGGTGCAAAACTATCAACTTTTGGGGAGTTGCAATTTGTAACTGTGGGGCATATATGATCACCAACAAACTCAAAATACAATTTGAATGAATTCGATATACAAGAGACGACCACTTGTATACAATAAACACTAAAATTTTAATATTCAACGCCAGAGTCATTACGGCCGTATCATAGTGCTGTAGTTACTACGCCTATTTATGATATAATAACTTTCATCTCGTCAGCGGGGGTGGGAGACCCGTGGCAGTGCTCTAGTGTCCTCTTCAAATCTTGCTTTTCTTCTCGTCACTTGGCGGTCAATCAGTCACAGGAACAGTGTACTCGGATACACATTTTTCTTAGGGGAGGGGTGTTTTATAAAAAAAAAGTCAATGGTGGCGAATAATATAGTAATTTAGATTTAGTCAATTTGACTAGGGACAGCTGACAAAGCCATGAAAGGCTTTATTTCCAGTAGAGTCCATTTGCAAGCAGCATCTGGTCTTTCTATAGCCAGGCAGTCACCCATCCAAGTACTAACCAGATCGGGCACCCACACCAGAAAGATGCTTTTGGTAGCTAAGTGGAGTTTATTGATAGTGTTGCCCTGTATTTCTTTTATTTCTGTTTGGCCACTTTTAATTACTCGAGGAGCTGAGAATTTTTCACTATCGGAGTTGTTTGCGTAGGCAATGGCCTTGTAGCAAACAACTGCGCTGTAAACAGTGTTGTGTGGTCTACTGAATCATTCTTCTCAAGTTACGCTGTAAACACCTCTCTCTCACGTCTACACTACAGCAACTTTAGTGGTGAGTTCATACTTATCAAAAAAGCTTATGCTTACCCTTGTTCGCTGTTTCCTCTATATCTCTATCGAGAGGGATCTTCCCAAATGATTTTGATAACTTAATTTGTGCACAAAGTTACCATTGGTGTACCGGCTGTGCACATTAAGATGTTCAGTAAGGATATGCCAGTGAAGATGGGAACAACTCTCCAGTCACACAAGGACCTGGAGAGACCCCACAAACAAGCAAAGACCTCAAAAAAGATCACAAACACCCACAATAAAAACTAGAAACGAAAAAGATAGGGATCATCCCTCCAGTGCCACAAGGACCTGGAAGAACCCCCCCCCCCAACATAATATGTCCCAAGCAAACATCAAATAGAACAACTTAGCTTAGCTGCTGTCAACCTCCTCCTATATTTCCCACTTCTGAACTTTACCTTGTACTGTACCCTTCTCGAACCCTCAGAGCTAATGCTCTCTTCTCTCCATATCACCAACCAACCAACTCCTTAGTCTGTACTCACCCCTGAAGATGTGAATTACACGAAAGCGCTTGGGAACTTCTTGTTTTCTTCTTTCCTTGTGGTTATCAGCATATACCTGGATCACGCGCAACTACAGTGATTTACATATATATATATATATATATATATATATATATATATATATATATATATATATATATATATATATATATATATATATATATATATATATATATATATATATATATATATATATATATATATATATATATATATATATATATATATATGTATATATATATATTTATATATATACATATATATATATATATATATATATATATATATATATATATATAATATTCAGAAATTTTATTGTGATATTTAGAGACGCTAGAACAAAAATCACCAATCTGTCGAACAGGAAAGCATAAGGAAAGCATAAGTAGGCCAGGCTGAAACACCCAGCCTCGTTGGCAAGTTAAACCAAAGGCTCCAAGCAACGCCATCGATCTGGGGGTGGAAGCATTTTGAATTAAGCCTATAGAAAATTAAATGTACTTTATCGAGTTAATGTAGACACGATTCATGATGTTAAGGGACAATTATAAAATTTAAAGTTATTGGGGATAGTTTCCCAGTCTAAATATGTTACGTGTGTCCCAAAGAAAACTACTAGAAATATGCGAAAGATGACGCCATTGGGGGAGGCGACCGCACTGAATGATGCTGAGGGGTGATGGGGTTTCAGTCAGCGCCGGTCATCGACCAAGGCGGAAGTCTAGCAAGCGTTCTGCCAAGGAAAACGACCAAGTGGCCTCGCCCCTTCCCGCTCACGTTTCATCTGTGTTGCAATTAAGTTTTTTTTCGATCTCAGACAGTATTTAGATAGGGCAGAGAAGAATTTAACAGTAGCTAACAAAGTGCTCCTTTTGCAGGGTTAAGAGAACCCACTTGGTTGGCAGGTGATGGTTGGTCGGTGGTTAGTGGTCGTTTGGAAGATATAGCTGGCAATGCTTGAGGCGAACACGTGTCTCTGACGACTAACCACTGGAACCAGCAGCCGCACTTTGGTCGGTGGTCGATGTGGTTCATCAAATCTCCCCACCTTGGTTCATACAACACCACATCTCTTCAGTCAATCAGTGAAAAATCTTACTACCGGGAAAGTAGAACCCCTCCCTCAGCTGGGCAGGGTTCACCTGGTTGTACTCTGAGCTGGCCTAACTAGGCCGGCTGACGGTCGCTCTCTTCCTGTCCATGAAGTACTGGGAGTAAACTGAGTGCAGACTGAGTGAATGAAAGGTCACACGCTGGGACCGGGAGTCTACTGGTTACATAAAGACATTCATCTCCCCAGTATTGGGTGTATGTGATTAAAATAGCCAAGTCCAGGTGTGTAATCAACGCTCCTCATGGTTGATTGCACACGTGGGAAGTAAGAGTTCCTCTTCAAAAAGTTTGTGAAAGGCTGTAGCACCTTAAAGTACGGGTGCATTCTGAACTTATGTGTGAAGCATGTTACGGGGATTGGTGGAGAAACACACTCATGATTTCGGAAACCTAGAAAGAGTAATGAAAACACAGCAGAGCATCCACCTGCCTGACGGGTCATGGGTGATTTTCTCGGTTTCTTGTAAATGTCTGCCACTTGGCTGGTTAGTAGTTACAACCTTCGGGTTCTGTGTAGTTAGGACAGTTAAGATTATAGTATTTTGTGGGTCGTCCCAGTCGGCTATGAGTGATCCATGTTCTTGTGTAGTGTGACTAAATCAAGATTTCTATTCCTCAGTGATTGCTATAATTTTGTCCGACGCCCTTAAGGGATGTTCATCGGTGCAAGTAATATTTTTTAATGTTTTATGTGGCACTAAGTGATGTAGGATATAAGAAGGAATTGTTTCAGATGAGTTCCTCGTTCTGGTGTCTGTTCTGATGTAGGTAGTACTGCTCCCATTGTGGTGTTGTAAACCACGCTAAGAAGTACTCTAGTGCTTTTGTACACTTATTGATTCCGTTTGTAGTGTTGGAAGGAATAGAAGTGTTATCTTTTACCAGTGCGTCTCATTAACCCCAATCACAGGTACTAGCTATTCCACGGTCACGGAAAATACTTTTATTAATTGTGTTTGTGTTGGTTCGGGATTTCTCTGAGGGGCGCTTTCACTGCCTTTTCCATCAGCTATAACTAAAAAAAACAATAACCGATTACACAAACACACACACACAAACACACACACACACACACACACTCGCTGGCTACGAGTTGGAATAGGGCAGATTTGAAGGTGGTTTCTAAGTTGTTCTCTCAGCACATGAGAACAGTGCTGTCTTCTTTTACTGGGGTCGAGTGTTAGCGGGAGAGAGAAGAGAAGACGGAAATGCTGAGTTTAGCACGTTGCAGGTGTGAGGTGTAGTTTCATAGAACAATTTCTTAGGGGGGTCGTTGCATACTTTTCTCAGCACTTGAGGACAGTGCTGTCTTTTTTTAGGGGGGTCGATTGCAATATTCAGAAATTTCAGTGTAATTTCAAACACCACGCCATTGGAGAGACTGAGTTCAAGGTCGTCTGAAGGAAGACCGCGCTCTAGCACATAGCGAGAGGTTGTGGAACTAGGCCTATACGATATTAAATGTAATTTACCGGATTAATATGGAGGCGAATTATGAAATTAAATATCAGATATTAAATTAAAAATAATTATAGATCGTTTCCCAGTCTGAAAATGTTGCGTACGTCCTAATTAAGCTGTTAATCGTCTGGTAAATATGTCACTCATGAAAAACGTGAACCAGTGAGCAAGCGTGGCTAGGGAGTTGTGAGAGTGGTCAAGGACCACCTCTGTGCTATACCCAGGAGAGACGAATCTCGTGACCTGGTTCCTTCGTTTATTTAACATCAGTATTAATGAGTAAGTTTTATTCACTCTCAGACAAATCTACATAGGGCGGTAGGAACAAACAGTGTGAAACGTCTGTGGTATGATAACGTCCACTGGCGGTATGAGACGAGTGGTGAAGCGAGCTGTATGACCGTCCACTGACCTGGGTTTGAGCCACCTGTTGAGTATGGTGAGAGTTGGAGTGAACCTAGCCGTCTGGGTGCCCAACTAACGACGTGACGATCGTTTGGGGTCATCAGCTCTCCTCTACCCCGCTTACAATACCACATATCTTCAAGCAGCTTAGTGAAAACCTTTTACTAACGGGAAGCTAAAGCTTCTCTCAACTGTACAAGGTCTGATTAGCTCACTCCTTTCCGTTTCATGGATGTACTGGGGGTAAAGCGAAGCCAGCTGAGTGATACAGGGTCACACACTGGGGCCAAGAGTCCAGTGGAACTTAGAGGTACATTTCCAAGGTTTAGAAAGGCTGGTTTGGGCCTTAAACTACGGGTGCCTGTTGGTTGTGCCTTAAAAAACTAAGGAGTGCAGATGGAATCTATGTGTTAGGTTAGGGAGCATGTGTTGACCGGTATTGGTGGACTCAGTAACTTCTTAATCTAGTGATAAGATTTTTTTCAGTTACTGATATTGTCTTGCTGTGTGTAATTAATATTTCTTAAATAATTGTGATAGTATTGTTTTTAATGTTTGTGTCACCCATTGAAACCAGAGAATGAGGGAACTGTTTTCAGATGAGTTTTCTCCCTTATGTTGCAAGTGATACTGTGATTTAGTTCCTTTAATGCATTTAATATTCCTTTATCATTTCAATCTCAGGTATAACCCTTGTTCCCCAGAGTAGTGTTTGAGTTAGGTTAGGAGGTGTGCATTTGTTGGGGTAATATTATTTTATTGAGTTCCCTTAAGGCCTGTTCATGGTGGATTTAATAATTTCTTATTTTATTACCATTTTCTCATTGGTTGATATTATTTTGTTGAAAGCCCTTAAGGCCTGTTTCATGTGTGCAAGCAACAATTCTTAATACTTTGAATTTATTGTTGTCTAATGAGGCATTGTCTGTAGTGTTGGGGGGAATAAAAGTGTCTAAACTTTACAGTGTGTCTCAGACGCTATCCTTCCACGGGTCACGGAGAATTCATTTTGTTTAGTAAATGTAAGTGTTCTTGTGCTCGTTAGGGACTTTTCTCAAAGGGGCGCTACCACTGCAATTACCATCTAATAATCTTTAATAAACCCCAAGTCAAGTGAGAAATTAAAGATCCAGTAATTCCGACCGGTTACACACACACACACATATATATATATATATATATATATATATATATATATATATATATATATATATATATATATAATCAAGGAGAAGCCAGGTAATTCACATCTTCAGGGTGAGTACAGACTGTGCTCACCCTGAAGATGTGAATTACACGAAAGCGCTTGGGAACTTCGTGTTTTCTTTCCTTGTGGTTATCAGCATATACCTAGATCATGCACTACAGTGATTTACTTGTATATATATATATATATATATATATATATATATATATATATATATATATATATATATATATATATATATATATATATATATATATATATATATATATATATATATATATATATATATATATTTATATATATATATATATATCAACAATAGTATCATTTTATTTACACTCCAGCTAGAAAGCGCGAGGCTTTCAATAAGTCTCAAATATCCCTATATACCTGGTCTTCAATATACAAACAATACTTTTAAGATATATTGGTGGCCACGTGCATTCCAGCGGGTTATCTTCCCTGGAGGCTCCTGTTGCTTGAGAATAAGACGAAGGAGTAGGGTTGGTGTGAAATGCAACAAAGCCTGGAATAAGTTTTAGTTGTCCTTGCTGTTCAGTGGTAGCGCTCCCAGGTTCCATCTCAGTAGTCCCGGGTATGTATGGATCTACATGCTTGATTGTACATGAATTATGAACTAGTTAGTAGCTAGTGGAGAACAAGATCATTATAAATATGAAGCCTTTGTTAAGTGAGTCTTTGTGTTATCTGCACAATAATATCCCAGTGTTCATACAGTTTCACGAAATTAGGTATATTATCCATATTTCACATGGAGCTGTTTGCAGTGAGCCATGTGTATTGTTGGAAAATATACTCAAAATATATTCACTGTGGAAAATAATTAGAAACAATGAGAGAAAAGAATACACACACACCCATTCTCAATAAAAGATGGTATCGTCGACATTTACAAAGTACGAAATCAATAGTTACTCGTACATGTGTCGAGAAAGTTAACCATGCCTACCTTCTTTCCATAAAATTATCTCATCTTTTCGGGTTGATGATGATAATGCCACACAGTTAGACTCAGTTCAGAAAATACATCCAAACTTACTGAAGAACTAGGGAACTTTCATGAACCCTGTCATGAGTTGTTATTGTTGTTATAATTTTATTACTACGCTTCAACAAAGAAGGTCTTCAAGCGTGTAACAAGGTTAGTAATTACACTAGTTCAGCTACTTAAAACATTATGAGCGATAGAATTATATCTGCTATGAGTGCATTTAGTTTCGTGTTTCATTGTATTAATTGTTATAAAGTCTGAATATCGTTTATTATATCAAGGATAATAGTCAGTGAAACCCGCAACACACCCACTATAACCGTCGCACCTTTAGCCAAACGAAACAATATAAAATTCGGTATAACATTTTTCGCTCCTCTGACAACCCTTACCCATTGTCTAAAGATAACAAAACACCGAAGTCAGGATGCTTATCAAACAAATTATAGAACTTTTCGATTGAAATTATGAATGATTGATTTCAGACAGAACAATGAAGGCTCCACGGTCATCTCGACCAACAGAGTTAAATGAGAGGGCCAGCTTCGTGTGGATGTGGGTCAAGGGGATGTCTCCCCGCGCTATTGCACAAGAAACTGGAGCAAGTGTGACAACTGTGAGGAGGTGGATAAGACGCTGGAAACTAGAAGGCAACGTGAACACAAAACTTCGCACCGGAAGACCTTGTAAGGATAGATTACGAACATTTCTACAATCCACTCTATCCCGGCGTTGGATAACACCAGCAGAGATTGTTCGTGGTCTCCAGCATAATAATACATGCAGTGCAACACAATTTTGCTTCAGTAGAAACCCATTGCACCACACATATTCCTACCTTGTTTACTTAAAACAATTGGAAAATAACCAGAACTATATATAAGTAAGAATCCCGGTTGACACAAAGTGAATATTTGCTTTGTGTAAAACCTGTCATTAGAAAGAGGAAACCAAGCATAAATGTCAGAAATTTGTTTTATAAGATATATAAAGAAGTTACAAGAGCAACTTTAAATGACCACAAAGATTCACCAACCAAGAAAAAATAATTCTATGGCACCGTTTTATCATCACACATAGGTTATCCCTCTTCATGTTTCCAATATTTTTGTTTAATTCCAACAATATTGAACAACTAAAACAAACTCATACATGACAGTGATGTATATGATAATTTGCATTCGTAAACTTTCAAGTGTGGTTTTTGGCTATTAAGGAATACAAAGTAAGCTTTTGAAATTTGCAAATCAATGAAATGTACATTGCTACAATACAATTGGTGACAGTTCCCCTAAATCTTTAACCTTTAAATTACCCATAGCATCACATAAATTACGACTTTTAATTTTGTGTAATCATATAAATCTCTGGACTGCTTTGAAGTTTTTAGTACAAACTTCTAGGAGAATTTTGTGGGAAGATTCCACTCTTTATTTTTTCGCCCACCACGCCCCGTTATGGGTCGATGGCCTGTGTCTGGGTGGGCTGAGTCCAGCTAGGAAACACGAGGCTACACACACACACACACACACACACACACACACACACATATATATATATATATATATATATATATATATATATATATATATATATATATATATATATATATATATATATATATATATATATATATGTCTCATAGGTAGTGTTTCCTAGCTGGATTCGGTAAAATGCCACACCGACCACATAGTTGGCACGGGCACTCCCCAATGAGGATCACGACTCCATAAGCTCGATCAACAGGCTTAGTGTGGAATATAACAAAGCCTAGGACTGCTTTTGGTGTCCTTGTGGTTCGATTCCCGACTAGTGAGGTGATGTGTATATAATGAAGGTAAATTTTAGAACAATGTTCCGGTTTTATTGCATATTGCCTGTAATTGCAAAAAGAAAATGTTTTCTAGGCTCTGATGATGGAAAATTATTTTCCGAAACGTTAGTCATTAAAGAAATCCAACTTAGTCAAGTTGTTTGTGTTTTCCCTGGTTCTCCTCTTAGAAACTAAGCTTTCCACGTAACAAGTCCATTGCTGAAGTTATATATATATATATATATATATATATATATATATATATATATATATATATATATATATATATATATATATATATATATATATATATATATATATATATATATATATATATATACATATATGATATTTCTGCCTCTACAGGTATATCCACTTAGCTGGTGGTTCATGTTCCCAACTATTGTCCACATTAACTGCTTACAATACACAAATTAAAATAAATTTTAAAATCTGTTTGCTACTTGTACTTTTTGTAATGAACTGTACGAATCCCATCTAACCTCCTCATCCGTATTACATGTTTATACCTACAATGATTCATCGGCCGCTATCCGCCACCAACTACCTCGTAAAAGTAATGATTTATTATATTACTGATTAATGGTATCAGTATGGGCTGAGGCATTTTAGACACTTTATTTACAGAAATATAATCCCAATGTACAACATGCTTAGATCTGAGCAAATAACAATTACATCCTTAAAGACAAAAAATAATATAATTTTTATAAAAGAATATGATACAAAATAGCTGTTGATGAAGAACTGTAATAACTAAAAAAAAATATATTTTTTCATTAAGAAATTCTAGTGTGTCTAGAAAGAAAACATAGTAATAAAATTTTAATTTATTGTTATGATATTCAGGTGTTACGAAGAGAGATGATATCTACCTGGACATCTGTGTTCCTGCTTCTTGCTGCCCTTGTCTTGAGGGGCGATGCTAAATTGCCCCGCGTCTTTGGTGAGATAAAAACTAATCCATAATATATGATGAATTTCTTATAATAAACGTCTGTGGTTAATAAGTTATTGCTGTCGAATATCTCGATTACAGTATATACTGTAATATATACAAGATATATATATATATATATATATATATATATATATATATATATATATATATATATATATATATATATATATATATATATATATAGGTACACTGAAACTTGATTTTTACTCAGTAGTCATTCAAATAACTTTTTTCTTAGATGGACCTAATGTTCTGACACTGGCACACGGGGCTATAGACGACATTCTACAAGCAACTTTACGAACTCAATGCTCCGTCTTCCTTTTTACAGATGGCACGAATTCTTATAGCTCGACGTTCTGGGTGAGCTATAAGATTGGTTTTGTGTTGCAAAATTATGCACACACACATACACACACACACACACACACACACACACACACACACACTCACACACACACACACACGCATATATATATATATATATATATATATATATATATATATATATATATATATATATATATATATATATATATATATATATATATATATACACACCTGTTGTAAATGAAGTGTACTCTGTGTTATACAATATTGTAAAAAATAGATCATACCAGGGGTAAAAAGGTCTTGAAATTTAATAGTTAAGCAATACGGAAGAATTTTTATCATTTTGGTAACAAAGTTTAACATTAGTTATTATTCATTTAATTTACTTAATGTGATATAATACATTATTTGAGAGTAAGAGTAATGACGTTTGAGAAATTTAAAAATTTGGGCAAATTGAGAGTCGAAATGCCTTTGAATTCCTAATGGAAATTCATCGAAGTTAGGTGGGAGTTTATTGCCCAGATACTGGCTAATGGGCTACAACGATAAAGTGCACCAAGGAGTTCAAGCATGAAGTGAGAGCCTTGAGAATGACATCAGGTCTGGATAGCTATCATATACCATCGAATAGTCAACTGACTGTAAGCCGTGTTGAGACATCCATTATGACGGACCGGGGTATGAGAGTCGATAAAATAAACACTGAAGTTGAGATTTCACATGGAAGTGTTTTGATCATCATCTTTGAACATTTCGGGACGTTCCAATTTTTTTCAAGAAGGGCTTAGCCAAACGAGAGCCCTCAGGATCTACATCATAGTATGTGTATCGAATTCCTAGAAAACACACACACACACACACGCACAGACGAAAGCTAAAGTGCTCCAGTATATATTCTCGTGTGTGTATATATATATATATATATATATATATATATATATATATATATATATATATATATATATATGCAAGTAAATCACTGTAGGTGCGCGTGATCTAGGTATATGCTGATAACCACAAGGAAAGAAGAAAACACGAAGTTCCCAAGCGCTTTCGTGTAATTCACATCTTCAGATGTGAATTACACGAAAGCGCTTGGGAACTTCGTGTTTTCTTCTTTCCTTGTGGTTATCAGCATATATATATATAATGAGACACAATCTCATCTGAAGAGGATTGCATATAGATATAATATTGATAGCAGTTGGAATGTAAAGAGAAGAAGTTTGGTAAGGTGGCCGGTTAATTACCTTCTCTTAGCTTATATTTGGGGTCATCTTGTGAACACCACTTCGTTACAACTATTTATTAATTACGACAATGGCATGGACACATTAATAACACCTTCTATCAAAGTTACTAGGACATTATATTTACGTTACTAGACGCTGATTTTCGGACACAAACATGAAATGAATACACTTCCCACGTAAGTAACTCATCCTATGGATAGCTCTGACAAAAACTCACGTGCCCTGAGGGAGGCCCAGCAGGTGCTTCTGGGCGGTCTCCTATGAGAGACTCTGCTTAGCTGGTGACACCGGTGTCGAAAGGGAAGTCTTCCTCCCGACCGGAGGGAGGACTTGCGAGACTCTGTCCTCTGTCGATGGACCCGGCTGACACCTCTAGCTGTGGTGAACTTCCTCCTGTGAGCGGTACTGGGGACGTCGTCGCTGGCCCTTCACTGTTTCTAGACTCCCTCTGTGTGCGGCATGAGGGAGGGCTACGACGTTCTATATATTGGGAGAATAGCCGTCAGATGCCCACTAATGCTGACTGGGTGCCTCTTGACCTAGTTGTTGGGGCCGTGTGACAGGGATGTTGGCTGATTTGTAGTTTCTTGATTTATAAGGTCATGACCCCGGTTTGAGCTGATCCGGCGGCGGCGAGGGGTCCCCTTACATTTGACCTCTCTAATGTAAGGTCAGGTCTGGACTTTTTCTGAGTTGTAAGTTGTTGTATATATATATATTGGAGGAAGAGCTGGCAGGTGGCCTCTCCTGCTGACTGGGTGCCTCTTAACCTAGTTGTTGGGGCTGTGTGGCAGGGGTGCTGGCTGATCTATAGTTCCTTGACTTGCAAGGTCCTGACCCCGGTTTGAGCTGATCGGGCGGCGGCGAGGGGTCCCCTTATATTTGACCTCCCTAATGTAAGGTCACGTTTGGACTTTTTCTGAGCTGTAAGGTGTGGTCTGATAAACCATCATTGAATAGTTACTAGTGTCCCCCAAAGAATGCAGTGATGGGTAGGGAAACACTGTGTAACACTGAAGTCCGTTTATTATGGATGAGAGAAATACAAGTGGTGACTCGCGTGTGCCATGCACGGCTCACACAGTCAGACTAAGGCTGCCTTGCCATATGGCAGCCTCGGGGCAATGTTGACACATAACGTGCAGTGTTGCCACGTGATGATATATATAAATGCTACTCGGCACAGTAGCTTACATACAGGGTTGCTACTCGGCAGAGTAGCTTATATACAGGGTTGCTACTCGGCACAGTAGCTTATATACAGGGTTGCTACTCGGCACAGTAGCTTATATACAGGGTTGCTACTCGGCACAGTAGCTTATATACATAACCTACATCTCCCTCCCCCCTCACGCTCATAGTCTTTGTCTTGAGCGGACTTCTTAGTCCTAAGTCGCTCCGAGCGTCGAGGTGCACTGTGGGGCGGATCCTCGTGAGGTGTAGGTGACTCGTCCTCGGTCAGGGGGCCAGCAGCAGGGGGTGGGACTGGCCGGAGGAAGCGGCGGTTCCTCCACCAGACACGGCCGCTCGGCATCCTGACCTTGTAGTCCCGCGACCGGCCGACGCCCATCACTATGCCCACCTTGTCCCAACGTGTCGTCGTCGGGTCCTGGACGCGGGCAAGGGCACCAATCTCCAGTGGCTGAAGAGGGCGGGCACGGTCGTCATACCGAGCCTTGGCGTCCTGGGCACGTGAAGCGGCGTGGCGGTCGCAGCTCTCGGCTCTGGTCTGCCACTCCTTCGCAAAGGCCTTGGCGTGTGCAGGAACGCAAGAGCGGAGAGGGTGACCATACAGAATCTGGGCAGGGGAGCGTCCTGTGTGGGTGGGAGTATTACGTAACTCCAGGAGACCTTTGTCAAACGCCTCATAGTCTATGTTGCCTGAAGGGGCCACCTTGAGGATGAGGTGCTTGACTGTCTTGACCGCAGCCTCAGCATGGCCGTTTGACTGTGGGTAGTGGGGTGTTGACACGATGTGGCGGACTCCCCAACGCTCCAGGAATCCTGTGAAGTCCCGGCTGGTGAACTGTGGCCAACCGTCCGTCCGCAGACGTACGGGGACGCCCAGGTCACGAAAGAGGTGCCGGAAGTGGCGAATGGTGGCCGCGGACGTCGTGTCCGAGCCACAGATTACCACCACAGGCCAGCCAGAGAGTCGGTCGGCGACCACTAGGAAATGTTTCCCAGCTGTGCTGAAGAAATCAGCCGACACGGACTCAAAGGGCCTGGTGGGTTCGTCGTCGCACAAGAGGGGCTCTTGCTGTTGACTGTTTTGCATGATCTGGCACGGCTCACAGGCAAGGACCGTATTGACGATATCCGCGTCAATGCCGGGCCAGTACACAGCCTGCCTTGCGCGGCGCTTGGTGGCCTCTGCTCCACGATGGCTGTCTTGTAAGCGGGTCAGAACGCGACGACGGAGAGCTGCAGGGACGACCACACGGGCACCGTACAGGACGAGGTCCCCATCTGCGTAGAGGTCCTCACGTATCTTCCAATACGGGCGTAGGGCGTTGTGGAGGTCAAAACGGTCGCGAGGGAACCCAGTCCTCACCCTCTCCAAGAGCTGAGTAGGAGGGGTCGTCACGTGCCGCGGTCCGTAGTTCCTCAAGGGCCAGATCGCTGTCGGGTGGCGACACTGAGGCCTGGGTGCTGGCGAGGGACTGTACGGCCTGCAAGGTGACGATGTTGCTGACGGAGAAACCGGCCTCGGTGCTGAGCATCTCGTCTTCAGGTGTAGGGCGGCTAACTGGGGAGCGGGAGAGGGCATCCGGGATGCACAACTCCTTACCTGCGCGCCAAGCCGCGGTGAAGACGAAGGCCAAAATCTTCTCCTTCAGGCGCTGGAGGCGGGGATTCTCGATGGCGTCCAGCGAATAGTGGTTAAGAATGGGGACCAAGGGCCTGTGGTCAGTGATGAGGTCGAAGTGCTGTAGGCCAATCAAGTAGAACTTGCACTTCGATAAGGCCCATACCACTGCCAGCAGCTCCAGCTCGATGGTAGCGTAGCGAGACTCAGCATAGGTGAGGAAGCGAGAGCCACACTGTACGAGCCGGTACTATCCTCCACCGTGATCCTGGAGAAGGGCGTAACCAACCCCGTACAGGCGCGAGGCGTCTGTCTGGAGGACGGTGGGGAGCGCTGGGTCGAAAGTAGCGAGGATAGGTGGACTTGACAGGGCCTCCTTCACCTTATGAAAGGCGAGGTCGTGGTCAGGGGTCCACGTGAACGTCCTCTTGGGGCTCATCAGGGGGCGGAGAGGCCCGGCAGCGGCGGAGACGTCAGGGGAAAATTCTGCCAGCTGGTTCACCAGGCCCATGAAAGACCTGAGATCCGTAAGGTTGGCAGGTTTCGCAAAGTCCGCTATGGCGCGAACTTTCTCCGGGTCCGCAGCAATGCCATCCCTTGAGAGTCGGTAGCCGCAGAAAGACACTGCAGGTGCGGCCAAGACGAACTTCTCGGCATTCAGAGTGATGCCGTGCGTCCTACACCTGGTCAGTACCTCGTCGATGCGGCGAAGATGCGTCAGGTAGTCCTCATCGTAGAGGAGGACGTCGTCCACTACCTTCACGCAGTTGGTCACGCCTTGAAGTGCCATGTCACCACGGAGACAGAAGGCGTCCCCCGTAGCAGCGAATCCCATAGGGCCACGGCAGTAGCGGAAGCGTCCGTAAGGCGTGATGAAAGTGGTCAGTGGCTGATCCTCCTTCTTCAGTGGGATCTGCCAGTAACCACAGAGGGCGTCCATCGTCGAGAAGTGCCGTACCTTCGGA